CTCTCTCTTCGAGATGCCGCAAATAAGCTGGGTGTATCGTCTACAACCGTGCATCGAGCCAAAAAACGAGCCGGACTATCGACTTACAAGAAGGTAGTGACTCCAAATCGCGATGATAAACAAAATACGACGGCCAAAGCGCGATCCCGGAGGCTGTACACGACGATGCTGACGAAGTTTGACTGCGTGGTAATGGACGACGAAACCTACGTCAAAGCCGACTACAAGCAGCTTCCGGGACAGTAGTTTTATACAGCAAAAGGAAGGGGAAAGGTAGCAGATGTTTTCAAGCACATGAAACTGTCAAAGTTCGCAAAGAAATATCTGGTTTGGCAAGCCATCTGTACCTGTGGCTTGAAAAGCAGCATTTTCATAGCTTCCGGGACTGTCAACCAAGAAATTTACGTGAAAGAGTGTTTGAATAAACGTCTGCTGCCTTTCCTGAAGAAACACGGTTGTTCCGTACTGTTTTGGCCGAATTTGGAATCTTGCCATTACGGTAAAAAGGCCATGGAGTGGTACGCCGCCAACAACGTGCAGGTGGTTCCCAAGGACAAGAACCCTCCCAACACGCCAGAGCTCCGCCCAATTGAGAAATACTGGGCTATTGTCAAGCGGAACCTAAAGAAGACCAAAAAAACTGCTAAGGGCGAGCAGCAGTTCAAGGCTTTCTGCGGCGAAGAAGGTGGACAAGGTGGCTGTACAAAATCTGATGGCAGGGGTCAAGCGTAAGGCCCGGCAATTCGGATTTGGAAAAGCGGAAGCCTAACTGAATATTTTTCCTGAATTTTATACTAATTGAACTTGAAAAAGAAATTTAATTTGATTTTTTAAATAAACGATTTCACCGATTTACACGCGTTTTCCCTTGACCAAATTTTGACCGTATCACCCTTTAGGTGGCTAGTGAAATGTTGATATTTTGCAGCACTGTCAGAAAGTCTCAGATCCTCAGGGAAGCTTAGAGTAATTTTGGAGAATTTAAAATCAACCAGCTGGAGTTCTTCAAAGAAGTGAAGAGAAATTAAAAAAAAAAAGGAAAATCTTGAAACTAGTTAGAAAATTGCTATTAAGATCTAAGAAAATTACAGGACATTTAAGGAAGCGCAGTACTTTAAATATGTCTAGAGAACCAAAACAAAATTCAGGGAAGCATAAAACATAAACCTAAAAGAGTATTTAATATGTGATTTTCACTTCGCTTGGATCTCTACACAGAGGTGCAATGTGGCAGTCAAATACCAACAATCGTCGCCTACCTCGTATAACTGGTTCCAAACGTAAACAAGTCTCAAGAAACCTACATGGTTTGTTTAGGTTTGGAACCAATTTCATACAAGACTGATCAGTAGGCTAATTTGACAGCACGTCTGCCCCTCCCACCTTTCCTTACACCTCTGAGATCAATTCCAAAGCTACGTAGTGCGGAGCTAAGACAACTGGCTTCTTACTCTTTCATCTCTATCTCAATACCTATCTATATCTACACGGTAACCGCAAAATACCCAATAATGACTACAAAGTAAGCATTTTCGAGGGAGACTGGGACTACCCATTAAATGAGTAAAAATATTACCCATTTATGAGTAAATCGCCGCACTTCAAATCGGCCAATCACGAGCTGGTTCGCGTCTCCTCTTCCTCTTAGGTGCGGATTCACTCGAAATGGTTGTCAAATAATTCAACTGGTGCTGTCAAAAAAAAAAACCCAACGGTCAGGAGACCAACACCAAGGGTTACGTCCCTTAGATAGATTCGTTCGAAAGATAAAGTATTAGGATCAACACTCAGAATGTTATACTTACATTGAATTGTTAAGTAATAAAACAAGTGCATCTTTAATGGCTGTCCAAATGTATTCATGTCTATAAAAAAAAGTGCGATTAAAGGGTGTCCCACATCAAATTGCATCACGGAAAAAACGTTCTAAAAAATTACCCATTGGGTGTTTTCTCGTGAAAATTTGGGTAGAAGTGGTTTAGAGTGTATTGTTTACATTGCATTTTTTATCGCTGTCAGTTTTTCGAAAGTTGAAAAAATTGCGTCTCCCGAAAAGCAAACGTCGCGAATTGATTTTGCGCAAGCACCTGGAAAATCCTCAACTTTCTCATCGGAAAACAACTCGGAATCGTGCAGTCAACGGTGAGTCGTGTGATTGAACGTTACTACGAAACTCTGAGCATCGAACGGAAGGAGAAATGCGGTCAGAATGAAGTTCTATTAGTGATCAGGATCACAAGCGTGTCATGAAAGCGTTTAAGCGGAATCCCAAAAAGTTGAATCCAAGTCTTTCGTTCAGAGAGAGCCAAGGACCGGGAGGGACTGCATACGTACAAAATGCAGAAGGCTCCAAATCGTGACGAACGGCAAAATACGGTGGGAAAGTCACGGGCCCGGAAACTGTACACCCAGATGCTGACGAAGCCTCATTGTCTCATCATGGATGATGAGACTTACGTCAAGGCGGACTCATGTGGCAAACGGAGTGCACCGTTCGTGACTACTGGGAATGGGGAAACGGGGAGATCTACCTCAAGGAGTGCCTACAGAAGCGTCTGCTGCCTCTGTTGAAGCAACACAAGGGCCCTACAATCTTCTGGCCGGATCTAGTTTCGTGCCACTATTCAAATGTGGTACCCAAGGACATGAACCCTCACAACGAACCGGAACTAAGGTCCCTCGAAAAATATTGGGCAGACACTACGGAAGCATCCCAAGGAGGTCAAATCTGAGGAATACAAGAAGAAAAAGTGGGTTTCCGTACAGAATAAGCTGCAGCCAGATGTTGTACAGAACCTGATGAGTGGAATTAAGCGTAAGGTGCGAGCGTACGGTTATGGTATTGAAGTTGAATGAAATAAATAAGCCAAAAGCTTACTAATGGGTTATATTTTATTGTCAGAAAGTTTGAAAAGGATCGGTCAACTAGGTAATTTTCTACAGCGTTTTTTCCGTGATGCAATTTGATGTGGGACACCCTTTGCATTGCAAATAATCACTAATGATTGTAGACATCCTCAACAAAGAAAACAGCAAATCGGTCGAAAATGCCAACCGTTTAACTTGATATTGATCAGTTTGTTACTTGATTACCATTTTACAGCTTATTCCGAGCTTTACAAAATATTGGCTCAATCAACCAATTGGAAACAAATGATGAGAAAGTCACGAACGAGTTCTTATTTTTGCGCCAATTTTTGAGCAAAGTTGAGAGGATGTAAACATAGCCAAAATAACTTGAAATTTTAAAATGATCGACTTATGAACAACTTCATAGGCGCAGTGTTGCCAGAAATCCGAAAGCAATCTTTCTCAGATTAAATTTCATATGAAAACAATTCCGAAATCTGTAATTCAATGCCCATTCTCCGCTCGGCTATCGCATCGTTCCAGCAAAAGCCGAAATTAATTACCGGTAACACAAACTGTTTGACATTCTCACATTTCCACAGCATCTGTGTGAGCAGCTGCCCACCAGGTTCAGATTCCAAAACACAAACCCTAATTTTTCCACTCCCAGAGTCATCGCAACTCACTGCCATAGCAACTAATAGCTCTTGGCTCTTGGCTCTTCTTCCAAGTTCCAACCGAACCGAGCATCTGAAGACCCGATTCAAAAATTTCACTTCATATAGTGGCACCAGCACGAAACCGAGGTGCGGCACTTTCGACGTCGAGGCCGCTCCTCGCTAACACTGTTGTATCCGATGCAATATTCCTGGTCAAATTACAACCAATTGATTTTGCGTCAATATGTTCATCAACGTTTGCGTCGTCAATATTTGCCTCAATATGATTGTCAATACTTGTGCATAAGGAGATCCGTGATGCCAGCGAGAAATATCGCTTTCACTCAGATTGATGTCAATGATGATTGACACAATATGACGTTGAATTTCGCTTCCTTCCACATGGCAACCGTGACTCGACGGATGAAACTTCAAACGACACAAGCCAAGCGTCAAATCGTATTCTCACCATCAGAAGTTCGCATTTTCGTCATTGAGGATTCCAACGTTTGCACTGAAAATTTATATTGAAATTTCCATTTGGTCAGGTAGCGAATGCAATTTAATTACCCAAAAAAGTATGCTTGCCTTCTCCCACTCCCCCTCACACCCATTTCACGGCATCTCTTCGGGGAATGAATTTTCTGGTGACATGAAATGTGACAGCCGAAAACCTGCTGCTGCTTAGTTTCATTCTGCAGTTCCTCTGTGTGCTCCATTATTCCGGGGAAGTTATTTAGTGTAGACAAAAAAATGGACCATCTGAGCCAGGGACATCGGGTCTGTCCAGATTTCTCCTTATAGGGGAAAAGGATGAAATGTCGGCCTAAATGGCCCTAATTTTTTTTAAATTCAGCAATCGACTAAACTTTCAATAGCGACCAAAAATATCCATTAGTACCGTCCGCAGATTTTTAGCGATGGGCCCAATCTTAGATCCATAGGCCAACATTAGAGCTATTTCCCCTATGTATTCGTTGGTATGCAATGAAAGTTTGTGTGCTGCTTCCGTTTGTTTTCTGTTTTGTTGGTCCACTGGTGCATTTTACTGTCGTCGGTCGTTAGAAAGCATACTTTTAGGGGAAAGTTTTTTCTTTCTACGCGTGCTATTTTAGTGGGGAATACACGGTATAAATTTACCGTTTCCATAGCAAGATCCAACTACTTTGTTTACTATACCAGTTAAAAAAAAATCATCATGCCTACTTTGACTTTCACTTGAATTCCCGTGCTTGACAGCTAACAGGAATGCTAACAAACAACTTGGTGTCGTAATTTTCACCGTGCACTGAACAAACACACACACCGTCCAATTTACCGTTATTCAATTTAAATGTCCTGATAAAAGAGTGCACTTCTTTCCGAGTCTTTTTCCACCCACTCTTTATCGAAAACAAACTCGTAAATTTTAATCACTTCCGTTGGTGGCGCTGTTGCGAAACTTTTTCCTTCGCCAGCTAAAAATGGGTTCATAAATCTCATCACACTTACGGCATACTGTGGCTGGCTGTTCGGATTCTGCTGCTGGGCGGCAAACAGACTTCCTTGCTGACCGTTGAAGTAACGGGTGAAGGATTGCTGGAATCCGGGCGTTCGGATCTGGAAGCTATTCTGCGAAGGATCGTTGCGGAAGGATAGCTGAGCGGTGGCCACCGTGGCCAGCAGCAGCAGCACGCTACCGACGGTGAAGAATCGGGAAGCCATTCTAGTTAAATTGATCTGTTGAAAATCAGAAGGAGACACATTAGTTTGCTTCCATCCACCGCTTCGCGATTTTGACACCCTGTGTCTTAAGCTGAACGCATTCTTTCGGAGTGAAATTTTGCCATCCGGTGGCTTGCGAGCGAGCAAGAAACCCAACAGAGCTTGAGATGACAGGTAAAGCAAAAATTCCGACAGACAAATTCACAAACCGCATCCAACCGACACTCACATTGGAAATTTTCACACAAAGCTTATTTGCCTTTCTCCTTGCAACCAGATGTCACCTTTCCCGAGAAGCACTCCGCACTGAACTGTTTGCTGTTCGTCCTTTGTTTCACTTTTTTATTATTTTGTATTGACCGCAAACGAAAAACGTAAAACGACGAGTACGGGTGGACGGTTAATCCGAAACGGACCGCTAAGTAAACTAAACTAAGCCGCAGCAAAGTTGGCATAAACGATTAAATAAGCACGTGAAGATGGGCGTGGAAGGAAGCAGGCGGCTGGTTGTCACGCTTGGCACTTCCCTCGCCTACTGTTTTATTTTGGTTTTACATTTCTTTTCTTTTTCCCTGTTCAGTAGTGAGTGGGTGTGGGTGCGGCTCTTTTGGGGGGGTTTATTCAATTGAACCATGTAACGATATCCGTTTGGAGGTGGCAGTGGGTGAGCAATTTGAATTATTGTTTGCGATATGGCGAATGATGAAATCAAAACTGATTGAAATTTTGCCACGGTGCTGGTGTGGGAGGCTTTCGAGGAGCTAAGAAGACGATTTATCTTGACCCCGTTGGCGGAATTATGAATTTTGTGGGGTATGTCAATGGTGTCGAATGAATAAAACATGGCTCAAGTTACTAGTCTAATTTCGCTTGTTTATGGGCTTTCTTTTAGTGGGCTACGTTTTAGTTGGAATCCTGTAAATTGGGCTGTAGACCACCTAAATCGAAGTCAATCGCCATTTCTAACCAGTGCTGATTCCTTTTTGAGGGACTAAACGATTGTGATGATTATTAACAATCGGTGTATCCCTCAACAAATTTTCAGCTTTGACAGCTCAGTCCAACCAACGAAAGTTTTTCACGAAGTGGACTGTGGGTTTAGCCCAACGAGCGAAAGTTGACTGTACTACTTTTTGGTCCGGTATCGTTTTGAAACGACGTTGTCGAAAATAATACGCAAATTTAGACGAACATGTGAACAAAGCAAATGAGTCGAATGACTTTAAACGTCGATTTCCCACGAATAACAACACACTCAAGTAATTTACCACCCCATCTGATAGAGCAAACCTCCTCTTTCAGATGCTGCTGTTAGTTAGTTGGCCCTTTTATCGTGTTCGTCTAGAAATGTCATTTAGGATGAGTCGCCAGTGTGAAAAGCAATAGTAACGAGAGCAGAATAGGATGCAATTTATTTGCTCATACCGTGAACCCCCACTCATCTGAACGACACTTCATTTTTAATTTGCACTTCTATTAACCTTATCAGCATCAGAAATGCACGGTCCCAAGCTAATCAATGCACCCCTCGAAACATAGGAAAATCCACGTCTGTCAAACTTTCATTGCGAATCAAAACAAACATAGTGTATTACTAAAATTTCGACTAGATGGGGTACGTTAATCGATTTTCTTGGGACCAAGCGGGTAGTCAAGTAGTGAGTCAATTTTAAATCGTTAGTTTCCACTGGTTGACTTCCTGGCTTTAGCCACCGTATTCTGTTTATCGGTTCCGCTAAACGCCTTTCTTACCTTCCAGACATGAAGTCCGGCCCGCTTCATTGTCTGCTGAACGAACCAGACGGAAGAATTGACCTTCTTGGCCACGTCCCGAATCGAAAGGTTCGGATTGCGTTTGAAGTAATCCCTCACCTTCCTTGCGTTCACGGGGTCGGTCGTCTTCGTTTTTCTACCGCTGCCAGCTCGCCGCTGGGTCGTTTGGGATACGGTCGAATTGTCGATTCCAAACTGTTTCGTGATCCACCTGGTGGGACTGGCCTGGATTTTCCATGACCGCTCCCATAACTTTTTGTCGAGGCACTTCTTGCTTGGAAGCCACTTGACAGATTTTGACGAGATTTTGCACATATAATCATTACACTCTAAACTAATTTTACTCAAAATTTCTTCAATTTTTACTCATGCAATAAAAAGTTATACACAAAAGAAAGTGTATTTTCAATGGTTCCTCATACAAATCGGATCCTTCCGGTTTTAGAACTGTTAAATTTCTCGTCTCTCCGTTTGTTGTTTACAACTCGCAGCTCATAGGGTTGGTGTGATGAACGTCAAAGCATTTCCGTCTTTAGGCCTTTTCGTGTAGTTTATTTTTCGTGCAGCTTCTCCACTGTTTGCTTCTATGCAGCTTTTGATGAATCGCTATTCCCGAAGCCTACTTTCTTAGAGATGAACTAGCCTTCGGCTAAAAATCTCTATAATAAAGATTTAAAAAAAGCCTACTTTCTTAGCCAGAATACAGAGGTAAGTAAAATAGCGTCTAGTCCGTAAGAGCGACGACAAAAGAAGAACGAATTTTATTCAAATAACTCATGACTAACTTAGACGTATATTATTTCTAATCTGCAGCTCTTCACGTTGCTAAATGCACCGCTTCACTCCTCCTCAACGTCGAAGAACTTTCAGACCGATCATGGTACGGAACTTCTCCAGCTTAACTCTCGCCACAGGCTTCGTGAGTATGTCTGCGACCATTGATTCCGTTGGACAGTACCTGACTTCCATCACGCCAGTCGACATCAGTTCTCGCACATAGTTGAACCGTGTATGAATGTGTTTGGTTCGTCGGCTCCCTCCTTCGGATGACAGCATGGCGATGCAGTTCTGGTTGTCCTCGTGCATCACCACTGGCCCATCGACGACCTCGCCTATGTCCTCCATTAGCTTCAACAGCCAGAGTAGCTCCTGGCTAGACTCGGATAGCGCAACGTACTCAGCTTCTGTAGACGACAGGCTGACACATTGCTGTTTCCTAGCGGCCCAGCTGATTGGACTACCTCAGAGCTTAAAGACAAACCCGGAATTTGATTTTCGATCTAACTTGTCACCAGCCCAGTCTGCAGCCACAAATCCTTCGAGACCGCCGGGTCCGCCAAGCTCAAGCTTCAAGTCAGCTGTTGCGTGGAGGTACCGTAAAGTCCTTTTCGCCTCGGAACAATCCGCTTCGGTAGGTTGGCTCACCTTTCGTCCCAGAATAGACGCAGCAATCGCAATATCAGGTCTGGTGCACACCGCAACGTATAGCAAAGCACCGACCAGACTCTGGTAACGCTCGCCGGATGGCATACACTCCTCCTCCTTTTGCTTCACGTTTGGATCCATGGGTATTTTCGATGGCTTCGCTTGGCCCATGTCAAACCTTTCAGCAATCTTCCGGATGTAAGCTGATTGGTTCATCAAGAAACTGCCGGAACACGTTTGCTCCACCTGTATGCCGAGGTAGTTGGTAACATACCCCAGGCACGTGAGCCTGAATCGTTTCGACAGGTAGTAGTAGATTCTCTCATATTCGTTGTTGTCAAGACTCACAATTAACATATCGTCGACGTACAACAATATGAACGATAATTGACTATCGATGCGCCGAACGTAGAGGCACGGGTCTGCCTTGGATTGCTTGTACCCAAGCTGCTTCAACGTTTCCGTGATTTTCTGGTTCCAGATACGACCCGCTTGCCTATCCTATTTGATAGCCCATTGGTTGCTTCATGTAAATGGTCTCGCTGAGGTCTCCGTGCAGGTATGCTGACTTCACATCGATGTGCTTGAGTTGCAGGGATCGACGAGCGGCAATCGTCAACAGCGTTCGAAGCGTAGCTACTGGAGCAAAAACCTCATCGTAGTCGGTGCCGATCTTCTGACTGTAGCCCTGTGCTACGAGTCGTGCTTTGTAGCGGATCACTTGGCCAGACTCATCCAGCTTCTTCTTGAAGATCCATTTGCATCCGACTGGTTTTTGTTTCGATGGCAGCTTCACGATCTCCCATGTCGAGTTTTCTTGAAGGATTGCGAATTCCTCATCCATTGCCTTCTTCTACTCGTGACGTTCCTGGCTGCGTATAGCTTCATCATAGGTACGGGGTTCATCGTGCTGATTGGACACTAGGCGGGTGGTTTCTTGATACCGCAACGGCAACACACCTTTGCTTTTACGGGTGGACCGTCGTACATCCTCCGCTTCGTCCTCGGTGGCAGTGTCAAAATCTTCTCCGGCGCTGAAGGATTCATCAGAAAACCCTTCGAAATCGTCTTCATCGGATTCCGAAAACTCCAACTCGAATTTATCGGCTGCAACAACGGGTTTCTCATCATCCTCAACGGAAATAGGTTTGAAAGGATAAAAAACGATACTTTCCTCGTGAGGTTCGGTTTCCCGAACCTCATCTGCTGGAATGAACCTGGCATCTCGAGATACGACGAGCTTGTTCATCGCTAGATCCAGGAAACGGTAGCCCTTGTGCTGCTGCGAATAACCAACGAAGGTCATTTTCGTCGACTTTGGGTCCAATTTCGTACGCTTCTCTTTTGGGACCCACACGAAGGCTTGTGATCCGAACAATCGAAGATGGGTGACGTCTAGTTTCTCTCCAGACCACAGTTCGTATGGCGTTTCCGGCACGGCGCTTGACGGCAAACGGCTCTGGAGGTAACACGCTGTGTTTACTGCTTCGGCCCAGTATTGCTTTGGCATTCTGGCATCAAGCAGCATGCACCTTCCCATCTCAACTAACGAACGATTTTTCCTTTCAACTACTCCGTTCTGCTGGGGCGTGTGGCTGGTACTAAACTGCTGCCGAATGCCCTCTTGACGACAAAAATTCTCTAGCTGCTGGTTCTTGAACTCACCACCTTGGTCCGATCGAATTACTTTCGGTGACCTGCCGAACGTTGTCTTCATCTCCTGCACATATTGCTTGATGTAATCAATTGCTTGCGACTTTTTCTTTAAAAACTACACCAGCGAGTACCGCGTGAAGTCATCAGTAATCGCCATGAAGTACCGACAACCGCCTGGCGTTGGTATGTTCATTGGTCCGCATAGATCCGTGTGCACGAGGTCGAGTGCTTGCTTCGTTTTCGTCTTGGATTGCTTGGGGAAGGGGAGCAAACTTGCCCTCCAAACAACACTCGCACACAGCTTTAACACCGCAGCTCACTATCTTGATCCCGGTAGCCAGATTCTTCGATTCCAACTCGGCGACTGCTTCTGGGTCTCTGTGGCCGAGCTTCCGGTGCCACGCGTGCTGACAATTTTCTGTGTGACTATTGCCGTTCGCCATATGGACCATATGGGTGATCTGAAGGATGTACAAACCGCCAGATACCGAGCCAAGAGCTATAACCTTGCTGCCCTTGGAAATCCGACATCCTGTATCGTCGAAAATGACAGTGGCGCCGTTCTTCGTTGCAGATCGTACAGAGAACAGATTCGATTCAAGATCAGGGACAAACAGCGCTGAATACGACACATACCTTTTCCAGCCGATTTGGTCTTCATTCCATTCGCCAGCACGATGTCTTCGGAGACGGACTCGTCCAGTGACTCGAAAAACTCCTTGTTGGCTGCCATGTGGGACGTTGCACCAGAATCAACTACCCACAAGTTGACGTCACTGCCTCTGGTTGTCATGAAAGCATACTCGTCGGAACCGCTTCGAACTGCCTTCGGCTTCGTAGGTCTGCTGGCTTGCTTCGAGTCATGTTTCTTTGGTGATTCTGCATCCTTGCTCTGGGCCAGCAAACGACAATCCTTCAGCTTGTGGCCAACTTCATGGCAATGGTGGCAAACGATTTGCCTCTTCGTACCTGCCTTCAGTACCGAATGTGCACCACCGGCACAATTACGCTTCGCTACCTCGTCCACCAGCTTCGTCTTGACTAGGTCGAACGTTAGGTCAGCATCAGAACGGCTTTCCAGTGCCGTTGTGCCATGCTTCGAAGGACCATCGCAACTTGCAAATTAGCATCCAGCACCTGGCCTGCTATCGACAGCCTTTCGAATAGATCTTGAATCTCGGTGATGTGCTTGTCGATTTCCTCCCTATCGGTGTACCGCATGTCGCAAAGTTTCTTGAGGATGGATCCCTTCGAGTTCCTTTTCAAGTTCTCCCACGCTTCCTTTCGTCTACCAGAAGACCGATTGTAGCCCTTGCTTTCTGGTCACATTTTCGCCACGCCGCTACCGCTGCTGCGTTTGCTTCCGTTTGCACTGGGCACGTGCCAGTCACGTACTCCCAGAGAACGGCGGAAAAAAAATCACTCTGTTTATCGGTTGCTAGGGTAACTTGCTGGGCCCATAACCTCTTGGGAGGAATGGAGCAAAGTAAAATAGCGTCTAGTCCGTAAGAAGCGGAATTAACAAGCTAGCAATATGTCTCTTCAAAAATACAGATGGAACTCCATCAGGTCCAGGATTGAAGGATGACTTGAGCAGAGTCGCGGCCTTAGAAATCATTTCTGCATTAACATCAATTGCACCCAGCGTTTGATCGTTTACTGGAACGTTCCTGGCAGCCAGGTTAATATGGTCGTAAGTTGGTATCTCATTAGTGAATACACTGGCAAACTTTGTCGGAAAAGGATGGCATATATCCTGAACAGTGGCAGCAACTTCTCCGTTGAATTCCATAGACGATGGGAGGCCGGATTCCCTGCGTTGCTCGTTCACGTAGTTCCAAAAGGATTTCGGGTGTAGCTTAAGTTTGCGCTGGATGCCTCGTTGGAAACTAGAAAAGCATTCACGACTGACTCGCTGGTACATGTGATTCAGCCTCACATGGAAGCGTGCGATACTTCGCAAATCTTCTCAATGCTGCTCTCTTGATTGACTTCAACCTATGTAGCTCTCTCGTCTGCCAGGGAGGGTGAGACACTTTGTGGTGAGTTCTTTTCGGGACGTATCTGTCAATGACATATGCCAAGACATGTGAAAAGGTTTGCGCTGCAGCCTCAACGTCATCTGGATCAAGGATGTTCTCCCATACCATACTAGACAATACATCTAAGATGCTACGGTGGTCAGCTTTACGGAAGTCATAAGAAACCGAAGCAGTATAGTCGTCGAAATCACG